CTGTGCTGTTTCTCCTTACACACATGCTCACACATACACGTGCACACACATATTGCATGCTCCAGCACTGCTGTGAGCCCCTGCATCCAGACATGCCAGGCACACATATGAGGGTGCCGTGACCTCACAAATGGGGGCGCCCATGACCCACTCGTGTTGCTGGTTGGTGCCCAGTGTCATGGAGAGGAGTGAGGCGGGAGCCAGATGTGCCAGGGGAGCTTGTTAGCTAATTGCACATGCAAATTCTACCCCCGTGCACTTGGATGGGCTTGCAGCACCAATCTGGGGACATGGGATGTGGGGAGACATGTGTGTGCTCCCTGGGGGCTGCGGTGAGGATGGGGACAGGGAACCAGGCCCTGCCAAAACCCCGGGGCTGTCTGTGGGCTTGAGCCCTGGGTTGGGGGGAAGTGTGCACATGCAGGTGTGTGCATGCACATGTGGGTAGGTGTGTGCATATGTGTGCGTGTGGGGGTGTTTATGTCCATGTCTGTGCAAACATGCATGTATGTATGTGTGTATGTATGTGTGCATGTCCATGTTTGCGTGTGTGTGCACATGCACATTTATATTTGTGCCTGTGCATGTGTGCATTTGCACACACATGCATGTGTGTCTGCACAGTTCTGTACAAGTTGTGGGTGCTTGTGTCAGGGTCTGTGTCTGTCGGGGCCTTAGGGAGGTTGTGACTGTCCCCAGTTGAGCCCAGCCCAGCCTGTGCGTCAGGGGTGACAGGGTAGGAGCATGTCCAGGCACACGCGCGCATGTGTATCAGTAGGGGAACACATCCATGTATCACTTGCTGGCCAATGTGTGCTGCACGTGTGTGACAATGCACATGCGTGGGCGTGGTTGTGCCTGTGTGAGCCTGCAGCACATCTGTCAGTGTGTGTGTGCATGTCGCAGTCTGCCTTCAGCCAGCGTGTACATGTGTCAGCACACAGGCAGCCACAGCGCACACATGTGTGGGCTTTAGTGTGGGGTTGCTCATGTGCAGGCATTCCTGAGCATGTGTGTGTATGTGTGTGCACATGCAGGCGTCTCTGCATGTGTGTGCACTTGGGGGGCATGCATGTGTGCATGCATGTGTGTGTTCATGTGTGTCTGCATGTGTGCATGTGTGTGTGTGTTTACAGTTTTGCACATGCATGCATGTATCTGCATGCAGGTGCATGTCTGTGTGTGGCATGTGACCACCTGCACATGGGCACAGCTGCCTGAGTGTGCCGGCCTGCGTGTGCACAGTCTCAAGGACCCTGGGCAGACGTGTCCGTCTGTCCCTGGGCAGTGTCCATCTCTCCATCCAGCCCCCATGGCAGCTGCTCCCCCCAACCCCAACCGTGCCGTGCCAGGGACATGCCGGAGCCCCCAGGCATTGGCAGCAGGGGGCAGTGGAGCCGCCGTGACCCCCGGGCACCACGTGGCCTTGGTGTGTGCAGCGCCACGCATGGCCAGACCTGCCTGCCCAGAGCACAGGGCCGGGGCATCCATCCACCCGCCTTGCGTCTTCCCATCCACTCGTCCCTCCATCAGCCCTTGACCCCGCACTCCCACCAGGTGCCCCCGGCCCTGGGACCTGGGTCCCACGGCCCCGCCACCCCGGGCGATGGAGCCGGGATCTGGAGGCAGCCTCAGCTGGGATCCAGCTGTGCATGTGCAAGTGCATATGTGTGCACATGTGTGTGTGCAGACCTGTGCATGTCCATGTGTGTGCACGTACGCATGTGTATGCATATGTGTGTGCACATGCATGTGTACACACATGAGGCCTTTCATGTGTGTGCATGTGTCTGTTCACATGTGTGTGCATTTGCCTGTGTGTGCGCACACAGGTGTGTGCAGGTATGTACATGAGGGTGTGCACTTGTGTGCATGGGCCTGTGTGCATGTGTGTGTATGGGCCTGTGTGCACACATATGTGTATGCACATACCCGGTTTTGTGTGTGCACATGTGCATATATGTGCACATGCATGTCCAGGGCCAGGCCATGGGGACCAGGACATATAGACGGTCTTCCAGCAAGCAAGAGCCGGGGGGGCAGGGCTAGGGGGATGCGTGTGCATGTGTCTGTGTCCATGCCATGGGCTGGCGTGTATACACATGGGGGGACAGTGCATGTGCCGTGCTCCCGAACATGCTCCGGTGCCCCCACTCCGTGCTGCCCAGGGGCAGTGACTAGGAACAACCATCCCCTGCCAGGCCCTGCCCTGTACACGCGTGCCCGGGCCCACGGCTGGCTGCCCCGACCCCCGACCCCCGACCCCCTCTCCTCGGGGTAACCTACCCCGTTCCTGTGGACGGCAGTGCTACAGCCCGGCTCCACCCCAGAGCTGGGCGCATCTCTGCGGCTGGTGAGCGCAGCTCCCCCCAGGCCCCTCCGGCGTGGAGAGGCGGCTTAAGTGCCCTATCAACATGTTAATCAAATTACTTAGGAGCTAAAATTGACGCGTTTTTTCATTAATTATCCAAGATTAGCCTAATTGCGCATTCAAATTTATGCGCACGGAACAGAAGGTGTTCGGCGCCGGGCGCCCGGCATTTGCATATTAAATGGGGAGCGCAACGCATTAGCTATGCTAATGTATGCGCATTGTCTTTATTTTTAACTCCCGGCCCCATATGCGCGGCTGGCACGGAGGGGGGGCAGGGGGCTGCCGGGAGCCCCTACCCCGACCGGCGCTGGGGGGGGCGGCACCAGGCCTGGTGCTGGAGTGGGGCAGGCGCCACCGTCGCAGCCTCTGGGTCACCCGTGCCCAGAGCCGCCAAGGGACCTGTTACGGGCATGGGCAGCTCCAGGACAGCTCCAGGGTCTCTGGGCTGGTTCTAGGTGGCTCTACGACGGGTTTGGGGCTAGTTCTAGACCTCTCTAGGGCAGGTTCGGGGCTAGGGCTAGGGCTAGGTGGCTCCAGGCTGGTTCTAGGTGGCTCTACGACAGGCTCGGGGCTGGTTCTAGACCTCTCTAGGGCAGGTTCAAGGCTAGGGCTAGGTGGCTCCAGGCTGGTTCTAGGTGGCTCTATGATGGGTTCGGGGCTGGTTCTAGACCTCTCTAAAGCAGGCTCGGGGCTAGGGCTAGATGGCTCCAGGCTGGTTCTAGGTGGTTCTCCGATGGGTTCGAGGCTTGTTCTAGACCTCTCTAGGGCGGGCTCAGGGCTAGGGCTAGGTGGCTCCAGGCTGGTTCTAGGTCGCTGTACAACAGGTTCGGGGCTGGTTCTAGGTCTCCCTAGGGAAGGTTTGGGGCAGGGTCTAGGTGGCTCTGGGCTGGTTCTAGGTCGCTTTATGACAGGTTCGGGGCTAGGTCTAGGCACCTGCGGCACAGGCCCTAGACTGAGCTCTCAGTGGGGCTCGCCCCCAGGTCCCAGCCCCAAGAGGCGCTTGCCCTGGGGGTTGTGGGGGCTCCGGCGAGACCCGAGGGCCATGGCCAGACTGGTTCCCCAGGGCTTGGGGTCACAAGAGGGCAGTGGCCTGGGTCCGGGGTGGGGGGCATCCAAGCACAGCCAGGCCCCAGACTGGGCGGGTGGAGGGGGTCTCCCCCCCCCCCCCGCCCCTGTCACGGGCCCCCCCCCCCCCCCCCCCCCCCCCCCCCCCCGGGTGCCGATACCACCAGTGGCATCTGCAGGTGATCAGTGATCCCCACTGGCCACTGCCGACACCACCAACGGCACCTGTGGGTGATTGCCCCCGCCCCCCGCCGACAGCTTACCACCGCTGTGCTCCCGCCGCCACCGTGCCCCCCAGCCACCCG